TGGATCTCAAGATACTATTCCAGGCGCCCCCATCGTTTGGGGGGACCCGTGGAAGGGTAATTCACGCCCTATTGGGCGCACACATGTTTGCAGCAAAAGTTGCTCGACTAGTTTGCTCAACCACCCATATCCCACCGCCTCCGAAGATCTTGGTGTTTACTCGCAGCACTTGCACTTATCCAATATCAGCTGCTGAATGCGCGCAGATACCGGCAGCCAAATCCTTTCCAATCTGTGCTTTTGATGGGCATGTAATCAACGGCCTCAAGATCAGTCTGAGTAGTACCAAGTACAAGCAAAAATCAATGGCCCAGGTTTGTCTTCAAGCTATGTTTCTAATAGCCATTTAAAATAGCTTCAAGTCCATCTCGAACAACAAAAAAGGCCAGCTGCGTGCTTCATGCAGATCCACTCGAATTTTGCGGCGGCGCACGCTTAGGTAGCAAGAGCGTTATACTATGTGGCGCACTTCTGCCGGCTAGGGGCTACCGTGCAACTCTGTATCTGATTCCGGCTAAGGAGTTTTGCTCTTGACATACACACAGTAAGTACATGCACCAAGAAAGGCACTGCGTGAGTGTTTGTTGATCCTTAACTGTAGTAGACCGCAAGCCTCAAATCATGTACACAACAAAACAGGTATGTCATGTTGAAAGCAGCAAGCATTCTTCACACTCTCTACATGTTTGTCATAGCTGCGCTTACCGAGAGCGGCTGCTTCCCGCTCACCACTTCGCCAAAGTTTGCCTGCTCTACGGAACACGCACTCTTCGCACTCTTGACATGTTTACCGTAGCTGCGCTCACCGGGGGCAGCTGCGTCCCGTTCAGCACCTCGCCACAGCGGACCTACTTCCACTGTTTATCATAGCTGTGCTTGCCAGGAGCCTGCAATTCTTGCTCAGCACCGTTCAGCACTTCGTCACAGTGTGGCTTTTTTACGCAGCAAGCATTCTTCAGCTTTTCACATATGTTTCACAGGTGGGCTTGCTGAAGGCAGGCGTTTACCGCGCCAAGCATTCTCACGATCTATCCAGGTCTGAGTGTAGCAAGCGCTTCTAGCGAATCATTTCCCAATCAGAAGTTCGCCTGGCATGGCAGCGCGGCTGTGCAGCAAGGGCTGCCCACACTCAACGTAGGTTTAATGCAACCTGCGCCAAAAACAAGCCCTAAGCGTGTGCGCCAACACGAAGTCTTGACCCTTCAAGAGAATCAAGCTTCATTCCTATGTCACCCATGCGCATTTGCAGCAGGCCGTCTTAGCCCAGTGCCTTTTCTAATCAAGGCAGCACTTCGCGCTAGCGTGAATGGCGTACGCTTCCGAGCGCGCGCGGCCCGGCGCTTTAGGGCAGAAACCGCCTCGGAGTCTGTCACTGCTGCCTCTTCAGCTCTCCTCTTGCAGGCTTTGGGCTAAAGCGCCGTCAGCGTTCCTCTGTTCACTCACCCACTCCGACCAAGAGTTCGCTGACCAAAGCGGCTGGCCCAGACGCCGTGCCATCACATGAGCAGCAGGCATCTGGCGCGCAGTTGGGCTGTACAGCGCGGTGTTGCGCGCCAAGAGCTTGGACGAGCGCAGCACTTGCAGTTTGAGCTCCAGCGTGCTTCTGTGCAGTTGCTGCGCTTGCCGAAGCCAGCCGTTGAGCTCCGCGTGCAAAGCCTCGTTCGCAGTCGTCCCTGAAGGCATCAAAGATGTTACTGCCATTGGCAAAAAATGCCGATAGCGTAAACTGTTGAATAGCAATTCTGGCCGGTCAACTGATGTGAGTTGATACAACATCTTAGCCACCGTCATCTTCGTTCCTTCAATTTTCCGAGACAAGATGCTTGTGCGTGCGCGGTGCGCAAGTGCTGCGACACCCTCAACGGGCTGCAAGCGTGTAGGCCAGACCACCAGCTTGTCGCGCGAGGACATCATGCTGCGGGCCCGCTGGGCGCTCATGCTGCCACTCAAAATTTGCTCGCGAAGCAGTGAGAGTAGGTCCGTCTGCCCCGGTGGCTGCCCCAAATGTTCTCTCCGGCCCCAGCTTGGGTTGGGTCGAGAGAAATACTCTGCAACGCTGGCAAGATGTCTTGAAGGACTTGTAGTGTCAGAATCATGTATTGACAGCGCCACACGCAGTTGCTTGTCACCAGAGCAGCAATACTGATTATCTGCTGCGTGGTATCTGCGCAAATGGTCAGCTACCCGCCCAGGCCGGTCAAAAGTGCGGAAGGGGCAGTAAGGGCACGCAAACGCTGCCGATTGCGCGCCCTACCTTCCTTAGCATCCTTGATGTGCTTCCACCATGACTGCGCCGCGCTCATCGAGCCAGTCGAAATTTGGTGCGTTTTCAACGCATGCTGGCGCTGCTGCAAGCATCTCTTCTGAGCTGGAGACATCGATCAGTAAGGGTGGGGGCATCATTACTTCTTCGCCTGCCGCCTCCAAGTCTAGAAGAAGGGCTGCCTCTGCAGATGAAACACTTGCGGGCGAAGCAGGGTCTGCCTGCTCTTCCAAAAGGAAGAGGACGCATGTGCTGCTGTCGGTGCCCTGGCTTAACGCAGCTCGCAAAATGTTTTGCGTCAACCTTGAAAGCACCATCAACATCCCACACAGTAGCCACGCCTGCAGCTATAGATGTGTATTCAAACGCTACGCAATGTGGAGCACCAGTGTTTTCTACATGGAGTAGCCACTTGCCTACTGGCAGGTCTCCTTCGTGCAAAGCTGGATAAAGCTGGCGCTCCAACAACTCTGCGCACTGTTTATACATCCGACACCTGCGCTGTCCGAAATGCACGTTGCGCTGAGCGCCTGTTGTGGCTTTCAAGCACGCCGCAGCATGAAGTATGCAGTTGCCTGCCTGTCTTAGCACATGACTGTTTTGCAAACGTTGGCTCTGAACGGCTCGCAGAGCTGGACTTGATCACGTTAACCACTGTCTCGTGCTGCTTCTCCATGATGCGAACGCGAAAACCCGTCTCGGCTTGAATCCGGTCTTCACAGGCTGAGCACAGCTCCTCAGTAGTCAACCCCGTGACAGGCGAAACTTGCACACCGTCAAAGTGGAGCGATATATGCGGCGGGAAGTGCTCTGCCAGAAGAGGCAGCTGCCAGAAAGGCTGTATACTGCGTAGTAATCAAGGACACAGCAAGCCAACGAAAGTATAGCGAGGCTTTCTGCAGCTTGACCACAAACTCGTTACCTACCAATCTCGCCGGAGCTCCACCGCCGTACAGGATAGACACAAGCATCTTTTTGCCAACATGGGCCGGCGCTCGCAACTCCTCCGCACACACACACCCCCTGCCGGCCTTTGGCGCATCGATCAAACGCTGCTTTCATATCTAAAGGCATAGGAGGCTGCAGCTGCAACTTGTCAAGAAGCTGTGACATCACCGTAGAAAAGCAATTCTCGATGTCCAGGTCCAGAGTTCCTTGTAGCAGCACTTGCTGCGTGCGACGGCTGATCCCCTGGCTCAATTAAGAATTTGGTGAGTGTGCCCTAACCCAACCCGAATCTCACATGCTGTACATGGACAGAAACGTGCTCATGAATGCCGCGCAGCACATGATGCGCAATGGCCGCTGCATAACTTGCGCGTATAAAAAGATAGAACTTGTAAAGATTTCTTGCCAATCTGGCAGCATAAGTGTTAGAGACAGTTGGCAAAGCTTCTGGAACCATGCGCGAACGTGAAAAGGCAATCATACCAGAATGAAAACTACAGATAATTGCTTGTGACCAATCGAGGTCGTTGAACACTGTGCCCTATTGGCAAGCGAGCAGCAAACACATAACTTTTTGCTACGGCAACTCTCAAAGCCTGTGGCCAGACCCTACCGGGTGCTGAAAGCTAGCTTCTCCCCGCTGGTCTGACGCGAGTTCTTGCTCTTCTACAAACATGTGGAACCTGAGCACTAGCAACAATGGAGCTTTTCCATGTTTTCACCCAATGGCATATCTCTTGCAATCCACACTGAGAGGGAGAACGTGCGCTGAGGTGCCCCAAAAAAGGCACACGTGAACCTCCGCACCCACATCTCAGCGGCACTGTCCATCAAAACGACCAGTAGCGCTGACTCGCAGCAAACAACTATGCAAGAATAGTCAAGAAGGCCGCCGTGTTCTCCAACGCAAAGTGACAGGCGCAAACTAAACTACTATCTATCTAGCTAGCCATCTATCTATCTGTTTATCTATCTACCTGTGTATATATATACGTATGTTTCTATCTACCTACCTAACTTCCCAGCTATGTGTCTACCTATCTATCTACCTATCTATCCCTATATACATACGTATGTTTAAAATTTACATGCCGAAGTACCTAGCTACGCACCTACCTATCCATCTACCTATCGATCTATCTGTATAAACAGATGTTTATATCTACCTACCTAAGTACCCAGCTACGCACCTACCTATCTACCTACCTATCTTCTACTTACCGATCTATCTACATGTATATATATCTGCCTGTCTACCTAGCTGTCTATCTGTGTCTGTGCATAGTTGCGTATGCATCTATCTATACATCTAACTGTCTATCTAAGCCTACCTGTCAAGAAAATACAAATATATCTATCTACCTACATATATAGCCGTTCTATTTATACCATCGATCTAACTTATCCACGTATTTTGTTTAACTATCTACCTATCTTGATATCTATAAACATATATATATATACATACACGAAGGGAATCAAGCAGCAAATTGCTGCACACCATTTTTTCAGCCACCATGTGTAGTTTCAAACGCACACCCGAAGGAAAACGATATATGGGGATGCACGAGAGCTTGACTCTGGGCTTCGCTTCTGTCATTTATGCACATATTGGCTTTGCCAGCAAATTTTAGGTCATTTGGTTTTTGTGGGTTTGTCCCTAAAATGGTGATCAAATCTACATGATAGGGCACAACCCGCTAACGTGACAAGTTGGTGGGAACAGATAGCCCAAACTCAGACTTGGATTGCCGAGCTGCAAAGGCTTGCTTGGAGTTTTTGGCGATCGCTAAGCGGCTGGCCAAAGGTTGATCCGGTTGTCGCTGGTCGCGGCGGCGAGCTGCCGCTGATTCTTGGTAACCTAAAGCCGACTTGCCCAGGCTGCCAACGAACAATGATTTCCCGCGTGGAAAGGATGAGCTCCAAAATCATGTTGATGGCCAACATGCACGGGCAGGATGCAGCTTCTTGCTCAGCCGTCAACCGCAATTGTCCATACTGGGAAGACCTGCTGGTACCTGACAGTTAAAGGCCAGAAACTGTCCATGCGCAAAACCCGTGCTTGAGTAAAAACACTTCCCCCGCGCGCTGTTGGCACGCTCGCTCCGCGGCGCCAGCGCACGAGTCCCCGTCGGCATCCGGGACATTGGATGTGATGTGAAACCTGGCAGGCGCCGACACATGAGGCATTGGTTGGACAGGACACGACTGGCCTTCTTCCCCACGCCTTCTTGGAAGCACCACCTGAGTACTGCATAAACTACAAACAAAGTCCGCAGGGTTTTGACTGCTTGCCAATCACCACCAGTAACTCCACAGAAGTGGACGCTGCGCAGGTCAAGAGCCAAGACTGACAGTCCCTTGGTCTCACCTGAGGATCGCACTGCCCATGGTTCCAAAAGTGGCGCTTCTCCAGTGCGTGCGGTTTGTTTGTGTTCCGCTTTGTTGAAGCTGCAACTCCACCCCCTTCCCGGACTGTCTGACATGATGATGATGCCAAAACGCGAAAAAAGCGGGCACCAACTTGAGCCAGGCAACAAAGAGCAAAGGCATAAACACCCAACAGTTCTACACGCGCCGCGCAGGATCTCTCATGATGACCAACACAATACAGGCACGAATGGCATGATTTGGGTTGTAACATCGAGCCACTTTCAGTGGTACTTCTCGGCAACAACCGTTGAGCCTGGGTGCTTGGGGATGACTGCGAGAATATTTGCACAATTTTTGGCAAAGCCCGTCGCTTCAAAACCGAAACCTGAGGTAAGCACAGCGTCCGTCCGGGCCTGCGATGTCAAACAAACACTCATGGTTGAAAACGCACAAATGGTTTTAGCAGCTGGCCCAACCAGGTCGGATTGAAGCCAAGCATGGTCAAAACCATTTCCCACACGTGTCCCATCGTGCCCGTTCCGCTCAGCTGCGCTCATGGCGGTCAATGGGTCAGACCGACGGCTTGTCTTACAATATGAAACAGACGCAGGCGTTGCAGCAATTTTGCCCGCAGGATCACAGGCATTTGCCCTGAGGCACTATTCGCAAAGCACACTCGTGGGACAACGGGCGGGGCCGCTTATCCGAAACTTTTTCGCCAACGCGTCGGGGATGTTTTGCTGCAAGTCTGCGCGTCTCGCGACGTAAAGACGGTTGCCAGTGAACCGTCTGCTCTCACGCGTGTGAGAGTGGCTGCGCGGCGCCAGCCTAAAACATCTAAACTGCCCGCTTTGCTCAGTGAATTTGCACACACTCAAGCGGTTGATGCCGTCGACGAACTGCCGCTGGACCACAAACATGAACCCGGCCGTGCTTCGAACCCCCAAGCAGTGCGGAGTTTACAGGACACCTTGGCAGTTTTTGCAAGAGGCGAGACCGTTGCCCCGCCCGATTGCCTTCTTTGTCACATTGCCTGACGACTTGCTTACAGTCCTTTTTTCATGCTTTGGACATCCGTGTCAGAGGAACTGGCAGACAACAAGGCTCGGATTCACGCTTCGCTTTGGACTCCTCTGTTGCAGCTCTGCTTCTCCTCGAAAAACTGCGCGATATTTGGATTGGCCCGACACGCGCCTTTTCAGAGACACTTGCCGCGGTTTTGAACTTACGGGACCAATGGAGGTCGCGGGCGCAGATTTTTGGAGCGCCGCTGCAGTGCATCGCCAGCTCTCGTGGGACAACATCCGCAGCTTGCTCAGGATTACGACCAAGAGCTCTGGGACATCACGCTTGCTTAAGCAGATGCGGCTGGCGCAGATAATGGGAGCGAGCCCGAACTCCGAAGCGGAACAATGTTCCCTGACGGGTTCGGCAAAACAAGTGGAACCCCATAGGTGACCTGACTGAGTCTGGCGTCGATGCTTGTTTTGAATGCGTGGAGAAGATTCAGCTGACCGCTTTGCCGAGTTTGTTTGGACTTGCTTGAAGATTACGCAGACGCAGGCCTTTGTTCAACGCAGGCCGGTATGACCGCAGCAACAACTACCAACAGCACTTACAAGACGACATAGCAGCAGCAACGCACAAGCAGAAGCAACCGAAGATTGATGGCAACATCACGCACGACAGAATGTGCCCCAACTTCAGTTCCTATCACCACCTGCTGATTGACTCAGGAGCCTCCACACACGTTTGCCAAAAGGATGCGCGCCAGGTCTGCCACTACGACCTTGCGAAAACTCAGCTCCTCAACTCTACACTGTTGACCAACAAGAAGATCCCTGTCTACGGCATCAAGTATGATGCCACTTTAGTTTTGTGACGCGAAGAGTCGTACCTCAGGGCGCCGAGACCACTTGATAGAGGATACGGACTTGACTTCAAGTCACGGCGCTGCGCCATCAAACGCGGACAACAACGCACCTACTCAGACAAGGACTCTTCGACCTACGAGCAGCAAGATCGACATACCTGCAGGACACGACATCTACCCAATGAAAATCCAGTACTGCACAGATAAAACACGACAGCAGCACTCACGCACAGAGACCACGGACTAAGACGAATCCTTGGTGGAAACAACCCGACGCCTCGCACCAACAACAGCGGTTGTCCAACACCGCAAGAACAACTAGACGATTGGCGACTGACCATCATCAACAGATAAGAACAAGAACAAGAACAGCTACAAGAGAACACCAATCGACTTTCCAAACAAGAACTACAAGAAGACTTGAAGGTGATGGGTGGGCTGGAGAAACCAGATTCCGAAGAAAAGTCACACCTACGCGCCGGATGACAACAAAGACGACACCAGCGCGACAAAGTTCTTCACCCCAAGCCACAATAGAGACACCCCTGACAAGGCGAAAGCTACAACTACGGACTCTACAAGAGACATGGAGACCCAAAGCAGCACCTTCCACAGACCCAGAAACTACACGACCAACAGCAACAACACGTAGACCACCAACAGCACACGAAGACAACCAAGCCTACTGAGAAAGACAAAGGTGAACAATGGGTAAGACACCGCGCAACACTACGAACTACACTGTTCACACCTACAGATGGACCAGGACATCCACCGTTAACGCGCTAGATCCTCTCAGAACTACATTCGCCCACAACAGCTTCGGAGTCGATCTACACACACGAACATTTTTGCGGGGTTCTCTGTATCACTTCTGGGGCAAACTCTCTCGTGAGCATGTGTTAAATAAATTTGAAGAGAGCGGATTGACCAATCCAGCTGTAGCAGCTGGGTAGCCTCGTGTCCCTCTAGCCTGCCTCCGCGAGGCGCGCGCAGAATGAGCCAGACTGAGCTTGGTCCGCGCGCAGTTGCTCGGTCTCCTAGCGGGCAGGCGTCCTTAAGCAGAAACTCTGTTCCCGTTCCACGGAAGTTCTGTTGAACCTGCTTCAACTAGAAACAAGGCAGCCAAGAACAAAAAGAGGGGAACGTTCTGACATGCCCTGCTACGCCTGGTTTGATAACGCAAAGTCCCCAGTCGAAGATTTCACCAATCCTGAAACCCCCTCGGGGGCAGTTGGTCGCTCCGACGCCCCATCACTTGCGCATGGTTGCTACGAATTAGGAGCACTGTGCGCAAAAGCTGAGAAAAAGCTGGAAAGCGCAAAACTGGCACCTATGCATGAATTCAGCTCTACAGCGACGCTTGAACAGGTGCAGCGCTGTCCCGCAAACGCTTCGGAGCGGGTGCGGAGACGCGATTAGTGGCATGGCCGCGCGCACTCTTTTGCAACCATTCAATGGTAAACTCTGCGAACTTTCGTGGGCTTGACCATCAAAAGTCGGTGTTGTTTTGTGTTGTTCTCATTGCTCACGCAAGCCTCAAGACACTTTCAGGGGGATTGGGCCACCCCCCAGTTGGCCAAGTAACTACACCGGTCGAAGAAGCAGCTACGCAAGCGAGCCTTTTCTGCTCCTTTCTCTTGAAGCGCATACATGCGTGAATCTTTTTAGCTAGCATAGCTAGCTAGTAAATTAGCCGGCGCGCTGGTTGGGTAGCTTGTTGGGTAGCTTGTTGGATAGTTACCTCAGATAGCTCAGTTCGCTGAGCTGATAAACTAGTTCGCCAGTCAAGCGGCTAGCCTACGAGTTTTGAGAGCTGGCAAGTTGGCTGGTCAGGCGAGAGCCCCAGCTAGTTGGCCAACAGGCTAGACACTCAGACAGCTGGCTACTGAGTTAGCTAGTAAGCTTGATAGAAAATTCGTGCGCTAGTTCGCTAGTGACATACACTTCTTCATGCGTTCGGATTGTTCCCTGGCCACCGGCGAAACCCACAAGCCACGCAAGCAACAGGGATCAAGAACTGAGAGCCACCAGAGCAGTCGGTAACGTGCCAGTCACGTTCTGGGACCATCTCCCTACCCCTTTGCGGGCAGCTTGCCCCTGGCCGTTGGCAAGCTAATTCACACTCAAGCATGCTTCTGAGAGTGTCCTTACACGTTGGGCGCACTGGTGTTTGCTGCAACACAAGGCCCATTCTCGCAGAAACCCCTTAGTAGTATACTCCTCTCAAATCTGCGGACCCCTTGTCCAAAAGCGGAATATCGACAATATTCCTCCTCATCATGCATTGCTGCGACGCTGGGTGTGATGATACTTTTCGCCATCATGTTGCTGATGATTATCAGCAACATATGATTCGTATCTTTTTCGTGTCTTATTATGAGGTGAGAATTTCAAAAGTGACGCTAGACACTGCTTGGGATGTAGGGGGTGCAATGGTGATAGATATCACGACACGCGCGCTAACAGTCATCGTCAGATATCGCTGCGACGGATGGCGCCGTTGCGATGACCCTCATCATCAAGCATCGTTGCGACTCTGGTGGCAGCTATCATCATCATGACGGTGACCCTCATCATCATGAAGCCTCGTTGTGATGTTCGGCGCCGTTGGGGACGCAGGGGATGGTATGACGACAGCTATCATCAGTCACCATCATCATCCAGCATCTTTGCGACGCTAGGCGCCGTTGGGGGTGCAAGGGACGCTGTGATGTTAGTATCGTCATCATGATCATGATTCTCATAAACATCAATTATTGCTGTCATGTCCTTCTCTTCTTATTCTCTCTCACTCGCAGTCTTGGCTTCACCTTCTTCTTACTCTTATCTCACTCTTATAAGCATTTCACCATGTGTGCATTGTATGCACGTATGCAGTTGTAGGTGTGTACGTTTGTCGTGCATGCAACGAGTGTGTGTGTGTAGGTAGGTACGTATGTACATATTTACGTGTGTAATATAGGTAGCGTGTGTGTGTATGTATACATGCATGCATGTATGTGTGTACGTATGTAATGTACATATATTGTATGTGTGTTTTGATGTATGTCTTGTCCTTTCATGTGATGCTTTGTTTTACGTTGTGTTAAGATATGCGATGTCATGTTTGCATGTAGGCGCGTGATGCTGTGCGGGTGTGTGTGTATGTAATGAAATGTACTACAATGTGTCTATGTTTTTTGTGTGTACGAATGTATGCATGTACATATGTGTGTACGGTTATGCGCCTCACTCGCTCACTCACTCCACCCCGCTCCACTCCACTCCGCTCCACTCCACCCCACCCCGCTCAACCCCGCTCCACTCCCCTCCCCTCGCCTCCACTTCACTCCACTCCACTCCACTCCACCCCACCCCACTCCACTCCACTCCACTCCACTCCACTCCACTCCATTCCAGCCACTCACACTCCCACTCCCCGCTCCCCTCCGCCCCACTTCCGTCCGCTTCACTCACTCACTCACTCACTCACTCACTCACTCACTCACTCACTCACTCACTCACTCACTCACTCACTCACTCACTCACTCACTCACTCACAATGTAGTATGTGTGAGTTGATTGGGCAATGGTAACTATCATCTCCATGAGGCATCATCGGTCACCTTCGCCACGCATCGTCGCTAGGCGCCGTTGGGGATGCAAGGGAAGCTATGATGGTAGTTGTCAACATCATCATGATGCTTACCATCATCAACATCAATCATCATCGTCTCTGTCATTTGTTAATCTTTTCTTTCTTCTGTTCTCAGTTCTGTCTCACTCCCAGAAATAAGTGCAGTGTTGATAGTTGTCATGATACTGGCGATGAGAATGATGATCAGACATCGCTGGGGCGGACGGCGCTGTTGCGGATGCAGGGGACGCTTGTTGGCATCACGATGTTGCTGATCATCATCCTCATCATCAAGCACCGTGGGACGATAGTTATTATCATGGCGATGATCACCATCGTCAAGTATCGTAGGCGCCGTTGAGGATGCAGGGGACGCCGATGAGACAACGCAGCGCTCACCACCATCAGGCGTCGTTTTGACGCTAGGCGCCGTTGGGGATGCAGGGAATGCCATGATGATATTGATTATCGACCAACTTCATTATTATCAGGCATGGTTGCGACGCTCGGTGTGATGATACTTATAGCCGTCATAATGCTGATGTATCAGCAACATATGATTCGTATCTTATTCTTCGTGTCGTATTCTGAGGCGAGAATTTCAAGAGTGACGCTAGACACTGCTTGGGACGTAGGCGGCGCAATGGTGATAGTTATCACGATACGCGCGCTGACAGTCATCGTCAGGTATCGCTGCGACGAGTGGCGCCGTTGCGCATGCACGGGGGCCATGATGATAGCTAACATGACGATGATCCTCATCATCAAGCATCGTTGCGACTCTGGTGGCAGCTATCATCATCATGACGGTGACCCTCATCATCATGAAGCCTCGTTGTGATGTCCGGCGCCGTTGGGGAGGCAGGGGATGGTATGACGACAGCTATCATCAGTCACCATCATCATCCAGCATCTTTGCGACGCTAGGCGCCGTTGGGGGTGCAAGGGGTGCTGTGATGTTAGTATCGTCATCACGATCATGAGTCTCATAAGTGTTGTTGTCATGTCCTTCTCTTCTTATTCTCTCTCACTCGTATTCTTGTCTTCACCTTCTTCTTACTCTTATCTCACTCTGTTGAGCATTTCAAAAAGTGGCGTTAGACGCTGCTTGGGGCGTAAGGAACGCAGTGATGCTACTTATCATTAGTAGCATTGGTGCTGTTGCGGATGCAGGGGCTGCTATGATGATAGTTGTCATGACTACGATCATCTCGAGTTTATGTGACGCATGTATGTACGCAAATATGCATGTGTGCATTGTATGCACGTATGCAGTTGTAGGTGTGTATGTTTGTCGTGCGTGCAAGGAGTGTGTGTAGGAATGTACGTATGTATGTATGTACGTGTGTAATATATGTAGCGTGTGTGTATGTATACATGCATGCATGCATGTATGTACGTGTGTAATGTACATATGCTGTATGTGTGTTTTGATGTATGTCTTGTCCTTTCATGCGATGAGTTGTTTTACGTTGCGTTAAGTTATGCGATGTCATGTTTGCATGTGGGCGCGTGATGCTGTGCGGGTATGTGTGTGTAATAAAATGTACTACAATGTATGCATGAATGTACATATGGGTGTACGGTGATGTGTCTCACTCGCTCACTCCCCGCTCCACTCCACTCCACTCTACTCCACCCCGCCCCGCTCCACTTCCCTCCCCTCCCGTCGCCCCGCCCCCCTCCACTCCACTCCACTCCGCTCCAGCCACTCACATTCCCACTCCCCGCTCCCCTCTGTCCGCTTCCCTCACTCACTCACTCACTCACTCACTCACTCACTCACTCACTCACTCACTCACTCACTCACTCACTCACTCACTCACTCACTCACTCACTCACTCACTCACTCACTCACTCACTCACTCACTCACTCACTCACTCACTCACTCACTCACTCACTCACTCACTCACTCACTCACTCACTCACTCACTCACTCACTCACTCACTCACTGACCATCACCATCAACATCATCATGATGCTTGCCATCATCATCAACAATTCTTTCCCTTCTCTTTCATGTTTTAGTCTTTTCCCTCTTCTGTTCTCATTTTTGTCTCATTCTCGGTAATAAATCAGTGTTGATAGTTGTCATGATACGGGCGATGAGAATGCATCATCCTCATCATCAAGCACCGTGGGATGATACTTAGCATCATGATGATGACCACCATCAGCAAGTATTGTTGTGATGCTAGGCGCCGTTGAGGATGCAGGGGACGCTACGATGAGAGAACGCGCAGCAGGGGATGCAAGGGGCGCTGTGATGATAATGTTGGAGACGCTTTAATGGCAGAAGCCTGTCTTGTGTGAAGATTCTTTCTATTCCAGGATCCTGTGGAGCCCGGAAAAAAACCACTGGCCCAAAAGTCAGACAAAAACCGGGCAAACAAATCCGGGCAAGCATTCGAAACTCCTG